TCACGCACATTCATTAAACATATTAGACTGTGGAACGTCATGTGTAAATCAAACAAGTATATTGGCGATATAAAGAGAGACAGCACCGAGCATGTGCCAAATGCCACTTCAGTCAGTGTGTGCGTCACATTGATGTCACAATTGAGGCAACGCTCTTCGCCGCCGCTGCACCTCGCCCTTTCTCCCATGTAGTTGAACAGGAATTCGAAAATTAACTGATTTATATCACCGGCCACATTGATGTCACAATTGAGGCAACGCTCAGCGCCGCCGCCGCACCTCGCCCTTTCTCCCATGTATTTGAACAGGAATTCGAAAAATTAACTAATTTATATCACCGTCCGGCGCGCTAACTTCCTAATTAGACAGCCTACTCCCGCCCCCTGGTGGTTGGCTGATTACTGGTTTGAGAAAGTGCCTATTTTCATATGCAGCAGAGCTCACTTTTTAAATAAATAAATAATATCACCAATGATCACTTGGATTTCATCGTGGCTGCCAAAAGCTTGATCATCATTGAAATGCAATTAATTGTGTAGGTGTGTTTTTTTTATTATTATTATTATTAGCGCAATTAGTGCAATAATAATAATCACCATAATTCTTCTTCTTCTTCTAGTAAAAGCTGCAGTGCAGGTTAAATTTAATTCTAGAGACAGGATTTTTGTTTTGTTTTTAGGACATAGCACAGGGAAAATAGTGTGAATTATGTCTGTACAACAATTTATTTATGTTTGAAAATGTATTATTTAGTGGCAGGGGCCAATGCTGTAACCACCCTTGAAAAAGAAAAAAAACTTTTTTTAAAGGTGGTTAGAGCATTGGCCCTCGCCACTAAATGATGCATTCAATGACAACTCATATGGCATATGCCAAGATATCTGTCACTAATCATAAATTTAAACAAAAAAAAAAATCAAAATAAAGTTTAGTTTTATTCCAAATGTATTTACAAATGATACCACTGTTCAATAAGAGTTTATTCACGTTTGATTTAAAGACATCCTCGAGAACATTAATACAAGGATATTATCTATCCTGAAATTGTGTGATTGAGTGCGAGTGATACTTTATTTTGAACAGGTAGTCTTGCCTTCACTGGACTTTCTCTTCTTTTTTTTCCACTGCTTTTCCATTAAATATTTATCCTGATGAGCTACCTTTGGCCGCCACCTGGTCAGGTCCGCCATCGCAGCTGTGTAGATCAGGAGTTGAAAAATAATGAATTAATGCTCTACTACATGTACACTGTGACACTTTTGGTTTAGCAACACTACGAGGAAAGTTAACAGTACCAACACAGCTTGTGCTCATTTTCCACTTTTCTCCCCTTATGTAATACGATATGATATAAATACTTCTTTTCCCAGGGGAGCCTTTAGGACAGGTACTGCACTAAGCTGTTTGTCTGTGCCCCTGGTTGTTTACATGACTAGGAGCTTTATCCAACGTTAACACTTTCCACAGCCTCCCTTTTTTCCCCCCACATGGGTCAATTACAGGGAGGATGATGGGCTGTCACAGCAGGGGCTTCAAGCATGTTGGTTTTGGGGGAAATTTGGAAGTGGCACGGCGTGGAAGAATTTATACAGGCTGGTAAAATTGACCGTACAGCGAAGGGTTGAGCTGGTGTATTTGTGACGATGCCGCATTCCCATGTTGTTCTCAGTCTTTGGTAGTGGAGCTGCTAATCTCACAAATCCTCCACGACATGAAAACCTCAGCACAGGGGAGTGTCATTACACTGCAGCACCAACTTCCTGCACTCCTCAGTGACTCCTCAACACACATCCATTAACATTTGCTGGACACAAACTTTCTAAACTTACCAGTTTTTTTTTTTTTTGCTTAAAAATGGAACAAAAGTTTATTTTTCTGCACAATTTTTTTGACAATGGGACAAGCTTTCAGCAGCACTTACACATTTTAGGATTGCTGTTTTACTGGCTCGGTTTTTTTTCTTACTCTTTGCATTTATTATCCCATAGTGACACCAATCGAACCCTTTAGGGAGAAAAAAATAATGTTTTTTTAAAGGTAGTAAAAAGTAAAAGAACCAGCGACTTAAAACTTCAAATTTGTAAAAAACAAATGTTATAAATGAATCACTTGAGCATATACTAGGTGTTGATGACTTTGCAATATCCATTTTATCAGTCTAGTGCTTGCCAAAGGTGAGGGGCGGGGGCCTCTAGAAGGCACTTAGCTGTTGAGGAGAGGGCACAAGGCCTATGTATACTAATATCAGTCTTATCTTGTTTTGTCCCTCATTAAAAAAATGCATTTATTTGAAGTATGGAGTCTTGAAGCCGTAGATATAAATGTGGCAGCCTGGGGGAATCCACAGTAGTCTGGAGAAACTGGAGAAACAGTTAAGGAACTACTTTCTTAGTCGAACAGACAACATTCGTTATTTAACATATGGGAACTTAACCCTGTGCAAAACCACAGTGAACAAACTCAAGGTTATTTAGCACAGTTAATTTTAGGCACATATATTAGCTGACTTATAAGCTATAACCAGGTGTGAGCACAATGTTTGACTCGCGGGTCACAATGGGTCCTAAAATTTGACAGGGGGGCCGGGTCAGGAGCAGATAGATGGATGCTAAGATAAATGACATGAAACAGTCATGCAAAAAGGCAAAAATGCTAAAATGCTTTTAGCATTTTCTACACCACCTATTGGGGAAACGCGGGCATTGCAGGGGAAAGACAGAAGTATAATGATAATTTCTTTCGAGTTTGTCGGTGCGGATTAAAAAGCCAAACGGGCCATATCAACTGATTTTTCTGGCTGCATTTTTGATATTCCCTCTGACCTGGAGCATCGGAGATCACTGACATACATAAAATTTCCCAAGCATAATTATAAGTAATGCGAGTTTAATTCGATGTGAATTTGGAGCTGCGCTTGAGCACCAGCTCCAATGAGAGAGAATCCAAAGCTTTTTACCCTTTTGTCCTGATAACAGTACGTCAGATATGATCGCCCAGAGCAGCAGACAATTTCAACTTCAGGATCAAGTCAGATGTCCTCTAGATTTCCACTCAGACTGCAGGGACATCTGCAGGCTGAACTCACTGTAATTTGCTACACTTGCAGCTTTAAGACCTTGGACTGGCTATAACCAAAGACATTGGCTGTGGTAACATGTGGCTGTGTAAGTAAATATAACAGGAACAGTACAATACTGAGGTTCGTTTCAGCAAAGTTTTGGCGAATCTGAATAACAATATCCAGTACATAGCATAGTACAGTGGTGTCAAACATATGGCCCGCAGGGCAAAACTGGCCCACTAGGGCAATTCAATATGTCCCGCTTGATGAATGTTGAAAAGTTGAAAGTGAAAAAATGCACCAACACTAACATGTCAGTGATGTTTTGTCAAATATTTAATTAAATATATTTGCATGAAAACGAAGGGGAAAAACATGGACTTATTGTTGTTTATAGGTAATTATGTTATGATTGTACTGGTGTTGCCCCACTGACATCTAATCAGGCTGTATGTGGCCCCTGAACTAAAATAGGTTTGACATCCCTGGCATAGTACAATACAAAAAAGTGTGGGAGGGTGAGGAAATTCTAATGTGAGTCATTGCAAGCACACAGGCAGCCACAGGAGGCGCTATTAAGTATGTTGTTGCAATTCACAGGTTGCCAGATGGGAGATGCCATTGGGGATATGTGGTTCCTCTGGGAATTAACTAAACACTACATTATGGCTCCACACACTCTTGTATATAATAGAGATTATAGGCAAACGTATACACTGATCATGTGACTTGTGACTAACATGATTCCTGCTCTACACAGGCCACGGAAGGTGAAACGTTGCTGTGTTTTGCTTTGCATGCCTATTAGAACATTGCCCAAAAAGGTCATAGTTCAATGTCATATCTTCAAGAGTCTGTAATTCTCTGTCTTCTCCCTCAATGTATTTATGATCTTTCCTGTTCTCATCTTTTCCTCCTTCCAGGGATGATATTATAGTTGTTGTTTTTTTTAAAGCTCTCTCTAGATACCAGAACTGTCAGCGCAATCTGTTCTTCTTTGTTCTGTGTTCTTCCCCCCAGATCAAACCAGTTGAACTCTTTATTGTTTGATGATATATACGACTACCTTGAATTCAGTTCACTGACTTAATTTGTAGTAACCGTTCTCTTTTGCAGTGCTGTGTTTGGATTTGTCTAACGTAAACCACAGGAGCCCCTTTGAATGACACGTGGGGAAATGTTGCACCTTTGGAATTCAAAACGACACTATTGACCACGCTCCCTACTAAAAAAAACAAACAAACGAACAAACAACAAAAAAAAACAAAAAAAAAAAACAACCCAAACCAACTTTTTAAAAACTAGAACTAGAATACTACTCTCTGCCAGCAGGCCTGCTGACCAGGTTAGCCTTCCATTAGATACGAATCCTGATGATTTACTTCACTCCCTCCCCCTCTCCTCAAAACTACCCACAACCCCCGCCCCCTTGGTGGACATTAACGCTAACTCTTGTCTCTTTTACTAACAATGAGCCTTACAATTCTTCTGATTCAAATCTTCTCATTGGTGTGTTTTCTTTTTCCCTTACCTCTTATGATTTCGACGACTAACACTGTGTCATTCACGGAATGTGAACCATCTGTTTTCTCTACTTAACTCTGCAGCCTGCATACTAACAATTGTATTGTTATCCTTTTATTCCTTTTTGTTTTTCTGCCTTTTTTTGTAGAGTACGTAGAACAGTTGCTTTCTTTATTTCTTTATTTGGACTTTTTTTCTACGTTAGCTTGATAAAAAAGATATATATTGATAATATTTTACTCTATTAGAACTATATATTGTCTTTTTTTTTTAACCAATATGAAGTTGCTGACACAAAGGCAAAGCCGTCTTTTTTTTTTTTCTCCCCCACAGTTGGGGTTGAGCTGTGTTTTCCTTGAGTTTAAGAGATGTCATTTTATTTTTTTCCTTCCCCTCCCCCTGTTTTCTCCTGAAGCACGCAGGCATTGGACACGCTATGGTAAACAAACTGCATTATATGGTAGATATCATTCTAATTGTCTTACACTTTGGTTTGCCCTGGATTTTCCGTTACTTCTTTCTATTCTGTTTGCTTTACTGAAAATTCAAATCGCCATCAAGGTAGCTAAGAAACTCCACCTCTCTGTCTCTTTTTTTTCTTCTCTCTAAATATGTGTTTTTGCTTATTCTACCATTCACTTTTACCCTTTAAAAACACTTCACATCCAAAGAGGTCTGCCCAAAATTTAACATAAATTATTTTTTTTATATATAATTTTTTTAATGTTTTTTTCTTGTAACGTTAAACAACATATATCCGTATGAAGAAATAAGGAATCTTAAAGCAAAATGTTGCACTAAAATGAACATTAGACCAACTTTTTTGTTTCATTTTTATAAATTGGTTTCATTTTGATTTCTTTATTAATCAATTGTTTGAGGTGAGCGCACGCAGCAGATTACTCAACCAACACGGTAATGTAGCCGCTCCAGTGAAAAGAAGTCAAAAAGTAAAATTTAAATGTCGAGAACAGGAGAAGAAGCTCACACAATCACAAGCTAAAGCTAACATTTTGTTCGCTTGGAAGTACTCAGTTGTGAGCCCAAAAAGCTCCAAGCTCGTCATATGTAATATACGTAACTGTGAGTTCCACCACAAAGTCTGAACAAACATGCCCAGTTCTAAAAGGCTAATGACATGTCAACAACGTTTATTTTACCAGAGCAGTTTCAAGGAATGTCATTCTACGTTAGCAGCGTGCTAGGGGCTAACCCCGAGGCAGCAATCAGTTTTATCAAGGAATGTCATTCTACGTTAGCAGCCTGCTAGGGGCTAACCCCGAGGCAGCAAGTCATTTTTGATGTCCATAGTTATTCCAACCACTCCGTGGATAAGCACAGATTATACGGAGCTATTGCAGTTTTTGGGTAACATTTCAAAATGATTTAGTTTTTTTTTTTTTTTTTTGTGAAGAACACTTTACTTTTTACATTAGTTGTCAATTGAGGAAATTAAAATCAGCAAACCTCGGTAGCAGCAAGTCACAGACCTAGCTTCTCAGACCTCCTTCTGGGCAGTTTCTCCCTTCTTTAGATACTTATACTAGTTTCATTAACTTCAGGGCTCACAAGCTCACACAAAAAGTGCAGACGGAGCCTCATTCTTAGGAACAAAACGGTTCTTGTTCTTTTAAAGAAGTGCAGATGCAGCAACTGTGTACTTTAAGCTGCTGTCCCACTCTGGGGCTTTCGTCGTTATGGCTGTACGAACCTTAATCCTGTTCGTACACAGTGGCGGACCACGCTACAACGTTCACACGTAGTTGTTATCAGCCTGACTTGTTTTCACTGGACCTTTCCGATCAATACGCGCAGTGCTCTGCCCATTGATGCAGACCGTAATTGGAAAGTGCCTGAGTAAATCTGGACTGCGTGCAATCGACCCGTCATTAACACTAACACTAACTTATATTTCTTATACTTTACTGGCCTCGCACCTTGCATGGAGAGATGTAAACCCTAACCCTCCCAGTCTCTCTCTTTGTTTTTCCTCTGCCTTTACTATTGAATGCATTGAGTATATATGTATATGTATATATTATAGCTAACATATATACATACATATATCAACTGTCCTAATATAACTAATTTAACCATTTAACATGTAAAACGCACCCTTTCTAAAAAAAATATATTTGATTTTTTTTTTTTTTTACGTACTAAAATGAATAATGACCTCACACTTGTTCAAAAAAGTGGGAAACATTTAAGAGGAGAGACAGATTTTTGTGTTCTCGGTGAATAAATATGAAAAAATAAAAATAAAATAAAACCATTTAATCGTAAATGGATCTTGGTGGGGTTAAGCATTTTTTAAGATTTACAAACATTTTATTTATTTTTTAGGTTTATTTTAAGCTACATTGATGTTTGAAATTTAGACCAGGGTGTAGTAGAAGAATTAAAAGCTTCAATTCACCGAGACAGACTTCTCTTCTCTCCTCCTAGTTTCCCTATTCTTTAAAAACCCTCTCATTTCATTGAAGTTCAACTGTGACTGGTGACAATGTTTTTCGTTGGCATTTCCACCACCACACTGACAGAATGCAGTGGTCGTACTTTCCTGCATGCTTCTGTTGGCAAGAACATCTTCATATCAGCATCCCTCAGGGGCTGTAAAGCTCCAGCCCAGCACGTGTCGCTCTGCTGGACACAAATAAACTTGCACGTTTTTTGTTTTTTTCTTTTGCATTTCCGTCCATTTAAAAAAAAAAGATAAAGATTGTAATGATGCTCCATATTTTTCCATTCCCATGTAAAAAAAAAAGATAAAGATTGTAATGACGCTCCATATTTTTCCATTCCCTGTTGCCGTGAGTTGCACTTCTATATTTACGTCCAGTCTTTACATTTCCGTCCTACCAGATGATTCCTGTCTTTGGTTCTATTTGTGTCAAATTGAAGTCCTTTTTCATCATCACATATCCTTCCTCCATTTATTTTTCCCTTGTTAAGTGCATGGCTTTCGTGTGTCACCGTGTCTGCTTGGATGGATTCCATTTTTTGTTCTCTTTAACCAAAACGACTTGTGACATTCAGTCGGAATCTGGATCTGGTTCGAGCAATCTAATTGCAGAGGACTTTTAAAGGATCCTCACCCACTTCTATCATGTTTGACTAAATTTACTAAAACGGTGTTACTAATCAACTGTTTGAATCAAATCTTTGTCGTAACAGTACTAACAACCATTTTTGTGTCTGACTTTCCCTCACTTCCAAAAGTACTAACCGATTCCGTTCACCCTCCAATCCCTTGTAAATACAGAAGAGCTCAAAACCTCCCCTTCCTCTTCTTTCTCCCAACCTTCCAACAACAACAAAAAAAAAAAATCAGCAGAACAGCACCTTTACTCCCAACCCTGTTCTTTCTCAATTAGGAACATGGCACAGTTCCAAACCTTTTAATTTACCCTTCGTAATCGCATCATTTTGATTAATTAAGTCATCATTTTAAAATACAAATTGCCCCGTCGGTGAAATTTGAAGAGCTGCCAGACACCTATTTAACCCAATTGCTGGAGAAGAGTTATTTCCTCCTCCTTTCATGTGGATACTTACTTTGAGCTGCTCTTGCTTTCTCTGATGTACGGAAATAAAATAAATCAGTAAATAATAACATTGTTTTTCCCTTAAAAGAAAATAATCCGATGTAGTGTCGACGAGGGTAAGTGATGCATAGCCAAGGTAAGGTCAATACCGCCTCTCTGCATGGATTACGTTGCTAATGTATGACCGTACTGATGTACTCTGACAGAATGATGCCATTTGAGTCACAAAATGCTGAGGCGGTACAAAGCCTACATGCTCGTGAATGCTCTCAAGACTGGATGATGATGTGCGCTCCCAACCGGAGGAGATTTAAATGTTTGGGTGAAGTCAGTGAAGGCGGCGCTATGGTTTATTTAAAAAGCACTTTGACTGATGTGGATTTTATTACCTCAAAAAAAAAAAAAAAAAAAATCATATATTTTGGTATTATGCCCAGAACATTGTCATTTATATATGTCATTCCTGTAATGCTGGTGCACAGCTTCGCTTATGTGCACATAGATAAGATTTATTATGTGTAATTTATACAGCAAAGACTTCATAACGGTTGTGGTGTTTGACGAGAACTATTCTCTTCACTCGAGTCAATGAGGCTTCAGATTTACAGTGCAAGCTTAGCCAGTGCGATCCAGAGCGAGATTCTTCACCAGTGTCCTGAAATGGTCAACGAGCCAGTGACATATTAGCTGAAGTGCCGGACCTTCAGAGAACCTGCGTATTGAACGAATCCAGTTCATGTTAGGACCTATAACGGAAGCTTTATTGTTCTCCAGGTAGTTGTTGGTTTATGAGGAACAAGCGCACAAGTGAGGATATTGATTGAATCCAATGGGGTTATAAACATTAAAGAAATGGTTTTCCCAACGTGGGGCCATCTGGGAAGTCGGCTGGATAGCATGTTAGTGGATAAAAAAATATATATATTAACTGCCAATTTGAAGACCAATATCTGTAGACAATTGTTTAGGGAATTTACAACATAGGTGTTACAGACAATTGTTTAGGGAATTTATAACATAGGTGTTAGGTTACAGTGGTTCCCAAAAGCTTTTCTGCGGCTCCCCCTCCTTTTGTAACTGGGACACTTTATTGAGAATAATCTAATTCCTACAAAACTGTATTTCCTAAATAAACACAGAAATATTAATTCAAAACGAACACTTTTATTGATTGATTTACTTATTTATTTTTTCAGATTGACATTGAACACATTTTCTGTCCATGCGCTTATCATCGCTTGTGTCAGATCGGCCTCTTCAAGCACAGGGCAGTAAGCAAGGCTACAGCTGACAGCCTGACTAACACACTTATTGTACCAAATTAATTGCAAGTGACAGTAGATTAATTAATATCGCTGAAGACAAGGATGCATTTGACAGGCGCTCGACAAGACACACGTCACACACTCATACAAATATTCTATCAGTTCACAGATTTGGGGTTATGAATTATTATAGTATGTATCTTAATTGAGCATGACTAATACTAATTAATTACAATTATGACAATTCTGAAATAATCATTATTAATCAATAACAACCTTAAACATTGCAGTGCCTCAAATACATAAAATATTAATATTAAAATTGTAGTATCCTGCTGCTCCTTCAATTGCAATAGCTCTGCAACCTTAAGGGCCAGCCCCCTACTTTGGGAACCACTGTGGACTTTCACATTCTATCTTTAGCCTGATTCTTATTGTGTCTGTGAGTCTTGGAGTGTTCTCATTTAACCAGATCATTTCTGCCAGTGTGAGTTCCTGATAAGCCTTACCTGTGACCAGGTCATCGCTGGTGATCGTCTCCTAATGGATCACATCAGTGTCTAGCTTGTTCGTCTAATGACCTTAGATCATGAGTTCAAGCTGCTTCTCGTTAATCATCACTCGTTTTCTGATTTTTTTTTTTTTCTAACGTTCTTGCGCTCAGCTGATGTCAGTCAGCACCGCATTTCCTGCCAGAAGTCTTGCTTCACTGTTTACTAGTCTTACAAAGTGTAAAGTGATGCATGTGTTTGTTATATCAGTTCATGAACGTGTGCATTTGGTTCAAGCAGAGTCTTCTCATTTCAGTACAAAGCTGCCTGAGAGCGAATGTTTTTTTTTTAATCTAATATGAATATACTTTTAAGATTTCTGTTGTTCTGCCGTAATGCCCTGAATACTTTACATTGGATGTTTTGTTGATGTTGTTATATCATTGGAGTGGGTTTTTGAAAAAAAGCTAAATAAGAAAAGTGGTTTAAAATATATCAATAATTAAACACAAGCAACCTAATAGGTGTCTGGCAGCCAAATAGTCAATAGAGACCCACCCCCCGGGTAACCTTGTAAGGCCTAAGCTCTGTCTTCGACAACGGTCTGTCTGAAATATCTGTTTACTTGAACTTTATTAAACATTTTACTTTCAGAGCCTTTGGAGAGGCTTTGTCTGAGTCTAATGTTGTAGCTTGCGGACTGAAACTGAAGCCAAACATCACCCCCTGTTTATTTCTTTTGCAAGGCTTAAGCTCCGTTTTCCCTGGCCAAATCATGAATTAAATAACTTGTTCGACGATTTACCCAAACACCTGCCCTCTCAAATGTTTCCACTCCCAGCAAGTAGCCACAGCAGACATAAAAATGTGTTGCCCTGATAAAAAGGGAAGTACGTCCAAAAGCAAAATGGAATATGATTAATGAAAAATTGGGGAAAGACAGTAATCCAAAAAAAATAAATAAATAAAAGACAGAAGAAGCGTTCAGCTGGGGCAACAGATCTTTTGATGCAGTTCCTAAGATAATTGCCACAAAAGTGGACCTCACCAAATAAAGTACTAATAGCAGTCTGCACAGAATAGACAGGTTTGCGCCCTAGTAAAACGTAGCACAGTCTTAGCTTTAAAAAAAAGATTATTAATCCTACGTAGACCTAACCTGGATCACCAGATTACGCAAAATGACATTACAACAGACATGAATAGGAAATTGAAAATAGACACTGGCTGGAATTACAAAAAGCAAACAGGTGACAGTAAACAGATGGCCGAGGTTCCCCACGGTGCTGTATTTGTGCCCTGTATGTTGATGTAGATAAAACAGATGTTGAGTCAGCGGCAGGAGAGCTTTTCTCCAGCCCGGGTCGTCTCAGTGAGGATAATCACGCTATAAATTGGTCACTAACTGCAGATTCCTCCATTTCCGTCAAACCTCTTTATTTGGCAGGGCGCTTTTATAGCTTTTTTTTGCCAACAACGAATACAGCAACAATGTAATCTGTTTGGATTTTGAGATATTTTGCAGAGATGATCATTTAACGCTGAATATCACTTTAAGTAAATGGATCTCATTTTAGCCTTCTCTCTTTAATCGATTCAAAGTGATATTCCTAACCTTTCAAGTGTCTCTGCAAAGCTGCTGTAATTCAGATAACACCAGTGTTGTTAGATTAACTGAACTGATGAAAGGTTACTGTAGCATTATGTGTGCAACGATAAAATACCTTAGATAAAAATGCACCAATTACCACCACATCTGGTGCATTTTGATGTCATTTTGTAGTTTTCTTTAGGAGAACATATCACAGGATATAAATGGCAGTCCCAGATAGCCTTTTTGTCTTATGTAGGAACATGATGAATATCTATAATAACATCAATAACATCAATAAATATCTCTGCAATTTAATCTTGCATTTAATATCATAACATAATATGTGATTGACCAAAAAGCGCTGGTCCAGTGGATTATCTTAGCAACTGCACTCAAGAGTAACTGCAACCAGTCTGACATTAAAACATTAAAAACAACAAACAGAACATGTACTGACATAATACTGACCTTTTAACCCCTGTTCTGTTTCCTCCTCATTTTTCTAATTTCTCCTCCTTGTGGTCACTCCCTGCTCTTTCTCCTTCTTCCCGTCTCTTCATCTATCTCTTTCGGGCCATGCCTACACCAGGTGACGATCTCAGTGGACGGTATACTCACCACCACTGGTTACACCCAGGAGGACTACACCATGCTGGGCTCCGATGACTTCTTCTACATCGGGGGAAGCCCCAACACTGCTGACCTACCTGGTTCACCGGTCAGCAACAACTTCATGGGCTGCCTCAAAGATGTGAGTTGCTCTGTGGGACTTTGCATCAACAATGTTTTGCAACATTAGGCAGTATGTGTAAAATCACGAGAGTGAGCAGAATCAGAGGCAAGTCTAGAAAGAGATAGTCCTAGGACAAAAGGTGATCTCTGAAGAGCTGAGTCTTCAAGACTTTCTTGAAGATAGGAAGGGATGCCCTTATTCTGGTACTGCTCAGTAGGTCATTCCACAAGCGTAGGACTATCCCAACATCTTTCTATGATATAATTGGTAGACCAAGGCTTTAAACATAGGTGGATTGATAGATATGTTTGATGAGAAATGTTAAAGTTGAGTGTGGAAATCTGAATCTTGAATTATGGATCAAAAATACTTTTTTGGTGTGATAGAAGTAGTTTTCTCAAACTTTTTTTGGTCATTTTTTGGGGTGAGCTGGACAAGTAGCTGGACCACCTGTCCCCCGTTTATAGAACTAACATGAAATAATGTGACGTTTTATAATGGAAAGTAAAGGAAAGTGATACAGCACACCACTGCACACAACCAAATGACCTCTGCTTTTAACCCATCACCAAAGTGAACAGTGGGCAGCTTTAAGAGCTCGGGGAGCAGAACCTAAAACCTTCCAGACCCAAGTCCGCTTTCTTAACCACTAAGCCACCACTGCCCCATAATGAATGAAAATCAATAAAACCACCTGTCATGTCTCCGCTCCCCGCCACTGGGCCCCGCCCCACACTTTGAGAAACACCCAAATAAAGTCACAAAAACTTAGTGTGTGAACAAACATGTGGTTTGTGAACATCATGACATCCTCATTTTAGAAAGCCTCCTAACAACAGTTCTTATTTATTCTATCACTTTTGAGAATCGTCACTGTGTGCTGAAGTGGCATTTCCTCCGTCTCTTTTGAACCACACTCTCCACGCAGACCTCCAGCTGGTTGACACAGAGTTCCAAATTTATACAGATGTGTTACGAGACAGATGCTGTATTTATAGAGCTTATATAGAGAATTGTTCCTTTCTAAAACTTTTATTATAAACTTCAACTTCCAGCAGTACTTTCATGTATGGCTTAACAAGCTGCCAAGAGGACCAGTCATTACCTTGAGTATCTTGCCTTTGTAAATTTAATGGCTTGTATAGAGGCAACGCATCACGGTGCTGTTGCGTTTTCTTACCAAACTCCTCTGATTGAATAAGTAATTACTTTTGCAATCACATTAAATGGATCGCACAGTAATCGCCCCATCTCTAACTTAATTATGTCTGTTGAATTACATTTTGATTATTCAGGTTGCTGGAAGGTTCCCCACTGGGTCTTAAACTTCCCAGGGAATTTACTACCACTTCCTCCCCTTGCTCTCTCTGATTCTCTTATCAAGACGAGGCTGGATTTACAGAAAATGTACAGAGCTAGCACTGGGAAACTGGAAGGCAACGCAAATGGGAGTAAAATATGGAATGAAAAATGCTTAAAGCAGGAAATAGAGGTGGAAATGGAAAATCCTAGCAGATGGTGAAGATCGGTGTTTGTTCAGACTGAGTCTTCTGTGAATCAGTGCTGTGGAAATGTTAGAGAAGGCACCAAGTAAAAATGGTCACCAGGAAATGCAGCAAATGAATCGATGATAAAAAAAAAAAGTTTTCAAAATGTACTTAAAGAAATAAATTTGGAAATACTGTTAGTAGCGTGATCTAAGAATATTTTCAAGCAAACTCTTGAAAAGAATAATAAATAAACCACCAATGACCCCAATGGGATGCCAAACTTCTGTACAAACAAAACCACCAATGACCCCAATGGGATGCCGAACTTCTGTACAAAAATACATAGCAATAATAAATAAACCACCAATGACCCCAGTGGGATGCCGAACTTCTGTACAAAACATAGTACATACATACATACATAGTATGTGTCTGACCGGTGCACAGCTGGTCTGTTAGCGCACTAGGTCATGAAATCGGCTTGTTTGCAAGAACAAGTATTCAATGTGCATCAGTTACCATTTTTCCGTATATAGTGGGTCTTCGGTTTATGTCATCCTCAACTTACAGCATCATGACTTCTTGTCTCCACACCCTATCTATACATTTATTTGAAAAGTCTTGCTCCATTTTTGACGAGGAAGACGGCTAGGTTTAAGGTGGTATGCCAATTTTTTTCTTAATCTTTTTGCCTTCCACATTATGGTTCGCCAATTTTTTTCTTAATCTTTTTGCCTTCCACGGTTCACATTATGGTTACCTATAGCTAAGCTTCATTGTCTGCTTTTTTTAAATTATTTTTCTTCTTTTTTTTTTTAATGTAGCTGTGGTCAGGCTCTCATGAATGGAGGAAAGTGTAGAGGACAGTGAGTGGTCAGGGGGTAGACACTGGCATATTTCATCCAGAGCGAGTTTATTGGCACAGCTCAGATCTTCAGTGGCGCTATGGTCCGGGGCAAAGCTTTCATGCTGCCACCGTGGTCGAGTGTTTTTGATATGCTTGTCCAACAGCCTCTGGGCGTCACAGATCCAAAGGAAGGACACAGCAGAAGGAGGGGTAAAAAAAAGACACCAAAGGAGGAGCAGGAGCTCTATGAAGTTTTATGTCCTGCATGTGTGTACGAGCATTAAAGTAACCCACATGCTATGATCACACCATCTGTGATGTGTGGGTTTCGGAGACCAGGTAATAGTGTAGTGTATCATACAGTCTCTCTGCTGCTCCCCTCAGTCATTTCTCACCCGTCTCACAGCCTGCACTTCTCCGTTCGTCCCGTAGACAGTGACCTTGCTATCACCTCCTTCGCACCTCTCCATCTATCTCTGCCTGTCAGTCTCTCTCTCACTATCTCAGTCTCACATAAAAAAACAAAACAAAAACAGCTTGAAGTCCTTTCATCATTTTTCTCCACCTTTCTCTTTCACAGCTCCTTTTCTCAGGGGCAGTTTTGTGTAATTAAGTCCATGATAGCACGGAGTACACCAGCTTTGCCACTCTGATGGCCAAATTAAAAATTGATTTCTTCTTCTATGTCCATGCACCGGATGAATGCCCTCAGCCTTCTTTTCGCGGTCACTCACTTTCCCTTTTTTCACCCCTCTAACTTCATCTTGATGCTCTTCCTGTCCCACCTTTGTTGTGTGACATTTTTAAAGAGTTCAGCGATCTTCTGACAACTCCAACATTTTATCTTTTAAGGTTACGTTTATTTTTACCCAGTCTACTATATACGTGTTTGGGAAAATAAAGTGTGGACGCAATCAAAAACTGGCAAAAAAATCTGTCAAATTTTGTATGTAATTATGTTAAGAATGGTGAAATACTTCGTTTACTTCAACAATGATGATCAATAATTCAGAAATTAGAGACATTTATTCGACTTACTCTACATTTGGAACCCAAACAGATTTCAAATCTTTTAAAAGAATCGTTGAAAAGAAAAGTCATCAAGATGTTTGGAGTTGTGATGCTAAACAACCTCAATAAAAATGTTTATATTTATTATCAGCAAGGTTTTTCAGTAAGTAGTTTGGGTTGTTGGGTAACCTTTAGACTAAACCTTCAGCCTCCAGACTTTATATAGCAAACATTACAAAGTAACTGTATATACTGTACATACAGATGTGTGGTCTTTATAAATTAGTCAAGGATTTTCAAACAAAGCCTTGTCATTCGGGTTGTTTGGCGTACATACAAAGACAACATTAAAAGACTAGACTAGATTAAAATTGGAGTGTTGCAGCATCGCAGGGCACAAGACTTTGTTAAAGTCTAGTGAATGCCAAAATATACAGTGCAGAAGAATATAATACAGTGTGTAAGAACGAAAAAACACAGAGAAATGGACAGATCTACTGCGACCGGCTACCACTTGTGCGGCACCATCTTGGACATCTTGGGGAATATAGCGTTCCTCTCTTCCCTCCATTACCCAATCAGACAACGTTCCTCTCTTCCCTCCATTACCCAATGTTCTTCTTCTTGTCTGTCTTCTGACAGTTGATGTAGGTTTGAAATATATGGCTTGATCAAAGTCAGGTTTGGGTATTTGTGCAATCAGAAACCATGGCTATATTTCTGTGACACAGGGCATTTCTATTTAATTTCTAGAGAGCAAAGAGACAGAAATTGTTACTTTTACTGATTTCTTCAGTGCTTTCACTCCGTCTTCCTTAATATTCTCATGTCAAGGTGTCTTGTAAAACCAATAAGCAAGGCTGATTTTCTGTAGAAGCCAAGAGGTGTTCAATACCAAAAATAACATACTTTCATAACAGCTCCCTCCACTGGCGGCCTTTTCTTTCCACCTCCGACCTCTGTCTTTTATAACACCTTAATCCAGGGGAGCTCGTGCTTTATCGGCTGCCAGTTTTTAGTGTCATTGTGGCTAATTACCAGGACTAATCTCCTCTAATGACGACATTATGAAGTGCACGGTCCATGTGACGGTGAGGCCAAAGCACAGCACATCCAAATGAGGCTTAGGTTTTAGGAATAAGCCACACTTTTGTTGATGTTGAGTCTGTGCCTGTGCGTGCTATGTGATATTTGAGGGAGAAAATGTGACTCGAACGTGTGTAAAACCTCAACTCAACTGCGTTACACCAGTACCTGGAGGACATCCCTTTACAACCGTGTCTACTGAGTGTTTGAACAAATAAAAGGCAAAGAAGAACTATGAAGGATGGAGATTTTTTTACTTTGCTGTTAGCACATAATCCATTATGAGTGCACACAGAGAGTACACTTTGAGCTGAGACAATGGAGCTGTATTTCATCAAAGCCTTTTGGAGCTATTTGCATTAAAGCTGTAGGCAGCACACATTTCTCCCCATGTCTGAAATTCCCCCTGGAGCCATTTATCTCCTCTCATTTATTGCGCATTTATCCTGACATCTCAGCTACAGTTTTTGAAAAACGCACACTTCATGGATTTGACCGTGAGCTGAGCGTTCCTGGCTGATCACAGACTGAAGCTTTCAAACTTTGTACCCACATAACCTTGCAGTTTTCAGCAAAACAAATGCATGCGTTTTGTCAGCCTGCCGTAATGCTTGAATGATAACAAGCCTCCAGTCACTAGGTGGCAGCAACTAATACATTGGTTTGTAAAGTTAAAAAATATACATGTTATTAGGTTCTCAATGGTATTTAAATTTTTGGGAAGGCGTGAAAACATTTCTGTACCCAAGGGCGGGTCAGACCACTGTTAAAAAATAAAATCCTGTTGGAAACACTAATTGTTCACCTGTCTTTTTTTTTCTAGGTGGTATACAAGAATAATGACTTTAAGCTGGAGCTCTCACGATTGGCCTTTGAACGGGACCCTAAAATCACCCTCAGCGGTGATCTGGTGTTTCGCTGTGAAGATGTGGCAGCCTTGGACCCGGTTACCTTTGAGACGCCCGAATCCTACATATCATTGCCCAAGTGGAACACCAAAAAAACTGGTTCCATCTCCTTCGACTTCCGCACGACAGAGCCCAGCGGCCTCCTGCTCTTCAGCCACGGCCGTCCTCAGAGTCCCAAAGAGCAGAAGCCCGGTCGAGAGCTAAAGACTGATTACTTTGCAATGGAGCTGCTGGACGGGTACTTGTACCTGCTAATCGACATGGGCTCTGGAAAAACGAAGCTGAAGGCCAGTAACAAAAAGGTCAATGATGGAGATTGGTGCCACGTAGATTTCCAGAGAGAAGGCAGGAAAGGTGAGGTCTGCTTTAAACTATTTAGACGTAATAGGATAATGCCTCCCTGAGACAAAAATGTGTCTATTTTTGCAGGATTTTTAAGAATTAAGCTTAACCATAAACTAAAAAGTTTATAACACCATTGACTTAATCATAACCTAGGATATAAAACCATTGTATGAGTCTGACTTACGCTTACTAACGACGGCCAATGTAACCCATCTAATGCATGCCGTACAACTGGCGAATGTAAACAAAGCTGTCATCCACATATAGCACCACAGGATGACGTATTTGTCCACTCTGCTGGTCATCTAGTTCCCTTTGTTTTAATGCTGCACAATGCAATGATTAAACAAGACTTAATAAATGTATGGGCCACTAGCCATAAAACGCAAAAGTCGAGGATGTCGTCAATCGAGGAGCTGCTGTGACTGTTGATATGCAAGTTGCTCGATAATATAAGTCAAACTATTATAAAAAAACACAACTTGAAGTCCAGAAAATATGGTAAGACCTTGACAGTACATACAAACCCTATTTCAAAGTAAACTCATTTCCACGTAATTTAAGCAGCAGGTTTTAATTATAGGTCTGATGATTTGCCTCTGGACATATTCTAAATTCCCCTTGCCCCCTACTGCTGTCACACGATATCGTGAGTCACCAAGTGTCGTATATTCTTCATACTTGAGTGGAGCCGTTCCGTGCTCAGCCTGTACACAACAGGAGCATTAGGCCCGGGCGCGTCATCTGATGAATGGTCCGTAGGTGATCAAGCACCTCGGACATTATATCTCACGCTAATGGCGTCTTCTAATGAGGACGGTTGAGTGCCAGTGTCTGAGCGTGTGCACGCACGCGTGTGATCTCACCGCTGCTCCTGCTGTAATTGGCTCCTAATAGAAAATTAAGACGGCATCGTTAATCACAGAATGGGAGCGGGCCTATTGTTTCACTCGCTCCTCACTGGATTCTGCTTCCCTTCTCCTCCATTTAGCCTGTGAGACACATCAGGACAATCGCACACAAACACACACACACAGAAATCACTCCCTGTCTTTTGTCTAGCTATTTGCCCAGTCTCATTGGGGTCACCACAGCACACTTCATGCCACAACCCCAACAATATGTAAGGACGAATTTTGAGTGGACACATTATATTCCTACGTTATTTTGACTTAGGTAATTGTTTGTCTAAAAGTTCCAGTATCGATTATTGCAGTATCACTGTACCATGTTTTTTTTTTCTTGCCTATTTTGTAGGATCTATTTCAGTCAACAGCCGCAGCATGCCCTTCAGCTCCCCGGAGAGCAGTGAAATCCTGGATCTGGACAGTGATATGTTCCTGGGCGGCCTGCCTGAATCCAAGTCTGACCTCATCCTGCCACCAGAGGTTTGGACGGCGCTGCTAAACTACGGCTACGTAGGTTGCGTTCGTGATCTCTTTATTGATGGCAAGAGCCGCGACGTGCGGCGTCTGGCCGAGATCCAAAGCGCACCAGGTGTCAGCAGTTTCTGCACCCGCGAGCTTCAGAAGCGCTGCAGTACCACCCCGTGTGGGAATGGAGGTCTGTGCAAGGAGGGCTGGAACCGATACATCTGTGATTGTACCGGCACCGGATATCTGGGTACCAACTGCGAAATAGGTAAGGAATGTTTCTCAAGGCACAAGGCAAAAAGCTACAAACCTAATATCACCATCAACTTTACTTTATTTGTTGTGAGTAATTAGTTATTGCTTGAAAGACATTGTCATTTGCACCAGTGCTACCAGAACAACATATTGTACATAAGGAGTCACCAACTATATTTGTCAGAGGGCCGGAATTTTTCTAGACAGACAGCATGAGGGTTCAAACACTTAAGTAAAATGGAATTAAAATCTATTTTTTTTTAATATTATTATTTGATTTTTACTTGGATTGGACAGCTTGGCGGGCTGCATTTGGTCTGCAGGCTGCCAGTTGATGAACAGAATGTACAGTACATATATATAACTGCTCAGCCTGCTTAAAATTGCCCCTCCCTAGACTTTTTTTTTCTTGAACTTTTTAGCATCAATTTTAGAGTGACAAGTTAGTTACTAGCTTTTTGTAGCAGCCTAATAGATTCATGCTACTCCAAGAAATTCTACAAACAAATGTCAGAAAATAATCTTGGATTGTTAGCAACGGCTAAATAAATAGCTAAAATAAATTGCGTTTCTGCTTTACTCTGCCAAAACATCTTTCAAAGCCTTAGAAAAAACCCACAATGTTGGAATGCAAACTTTGACATGAGCAATGTTCTTTGATGTCGGCCTACAGAGCAAGGCTAACATTTTACCAACAATTTCCTTCCTGAGGTTCAACAAAGTGGTTGATCCCTGAATGTCATTAGAAGTTAACCTATGTAATATAAATTACTATTTTATATTACAAACCAAAGAAATATTAGGTGTTGAAAGTGATTCGTTCATTGCCCTAGCCAACTCTTATCATAGTAGAAAAAATGTGGAAAACACGTGTAATAATGGATTCTACATCTTAGTGTAACACTTGCTTGTCTGAATGCTTTGTCTTTGACACAACCAAGCAGCTGTTGTACAGTAAAAGCAAGTGCTCCGCGGGGACTGTGTGTGAAGTGAATGGCACCTCAATATGGGAAGGGTGCGCTGAGGGTGAGGTATTAGAAAGGCTGTCTGCGGTGATGAAGAGCAGCCAGGCCTACTGTTGCCATCTGTGCCAATCATACAAACCCAGGTGGCACAAGGTGAGCGTAGCGCCATGTATGTCTGTTTCCTCCTGATTAGCTGCAAAGCCCACCCCTCGCACATACGCAGGGGTGAGTGAGCCATGACAGTGAGGGAGTCTGAGGCACGAAGAAGGTAATGAAGGGGGCAGAAATTGGATCCAAATCAGGACAGTGGACAAAAGTGGACTCAACGTCTTACTTTTTTAAAGGCTGCTGCTTTTACTCACCGCAGATGGATGGATTTCATTGATACACTCCTGCCATCTAGTGGAGTTCCGTGTTACCACAAGATGGGAGAATTACTCAAACTATAATACCATCAGTTCATTCAGCTGAATCAGAGGCTTTTATTGTGTTTTAACACATTTATCCACACCACAGCTCAAAAACAGATACTTGGTCACAAACTAACAAATATCTGTGGTTCATTCTAAATAATTATCATTTAAATGAAATACACAGATTTTACTGAAATTTTTACTAGTTTTGATTGAGTTTATTTAAAATACATGGTATTCAATATAAGGCTCCCTTTATAATCAGTGTCTTGTTTAGTACCTGTGTTGTAAAATACTCACTTTTTAACCCTTCTCTTCTTCCCTCTCCTCTTGTCTCATCTCCTATTGCCTTTCATCCCCTGTCCTCATGCCCCCCTCTCTCCCTTTTTTCCTCTCCCCTCCTCTTCTCTCCTCTCCATCACTCCTGTTCAGAGGCAACGGTGCTGAGTTATGATGGCAGCATGTACCTGAAGATCATCATGCCCATCACCATGCACACAGAGGCCGAGGACTTGGCGCTGCGTTTCATGTCTCAGCGGGCGTACGGTCTGCTCATGGCCACCACCTCCAAAGAGTCAGCCGACACCCTGCGCCTGGAGCTGGACGGAGGCCGTGTGAAGCTCACCGTGAATCTCGGTAGGGTAAAATAAGTCATTGCAAAAGCTCCTTCTGCTTACTGTTTCCCTGCCATCCTCCTTCACATCCCCATGCTGTGTTTTGCCACTGCACTGTAAAATGCTGAACCTAGGAGAATGGTTGGCATGATCTCAGTGCTGGAGTTAATTTTACCCATTGACAAACATTTGGGAGAAATGATTCTCTGTTGTCTCTAAGTTATATTGATATACTCTACAGATTGCTGTTCAGCATTTAATAAAGGCCTTGGATTGTTAAAGGGAACTGAGATGCAATACAGAATCATCTGACAAAAAAAAAACCCAAAACAAAACAATAACTTTGCCTGCTGCAGGACAATGACACATTTGTAAAAAGCTGCTCCAGAACATTCCATTTGTCGACTTGTGTCCGGCTCCCTTTCGTTTTTATATTCTCCTGCTTTGACCTTAGTGTCTCCTTGACTCATCCATCTCCACCTTCATTCACTGAAGCCCCACGACAACTCCTTTCATAAAAGTTCCATCTTTTAACTGAATCCCTGGCCTGGACCTGACCGTGGTCTGAACTCACCCGTCTGGTCTCCACAAGCTGTGGGGCAGTTTGGCTGCTCTCTTGCTCCTCCTCATGGTCCTGCTCTGCACTCTTTCTGTAGACTTGAGGGAGTGACTGTCCCCCCAATACCACTCGATCTAATTCAATCCTCTGTAACAACCTAGTTATAAAGCGTAAATGTAAGGAGACCTGAAAGACAATCTGACAAACACTGACACCATTGTTGATTTATTAAAGTCTATACTGTACCTCACCATCGGGCAACGGAAAAATGTCTCTGTGATGACTAACTCTAACTCTCCTCGTCAAGTGTTCCAACCACTGACAGAGGTTGCTCTTCCAAAGACAATAAGTTCTAGCTTCTAAAATGGCCCTAAAAGTTTCTCGGGTGTTTTTGAGACAAGTTAAGATAACAAGTCCTTTATATCTCCCCAAGTGGGCAAATACACACATTAGTTCCGCCAAAGTGAACTGTGTACTTATGTGGTCACCATCATTATTAGTTCCGCCAAAGTGAACTGTGTACCACTGATGTGGTCACCATCATCTAAATGGTGGTGAAAACACAAGTAAGCAGTTGACACCTGATGTAGCACGGCCACATTCTAAATATAGAATGAAGGTAAATAGATCGGTAATCTAGATCAGTCAATAAGTTGGTTAAGTTATAGATCGGTAATCTAGATCAGTCAATAGGTTCAGCACAGATATCAGATATTAATCATTATTGTTAATCGGACCATCCTAATTGCAGAGCAGGATTTTTGAGATGGAAGCTTCTATACAGGAATCCATAGTCTTTCCTCTGATCATTACAGACCTTTTACTTCTTAAACTCCCTTTCCATTGATCAGCAAAAACCTTCCAGCTCTTAATTTCCTTGAAAGCTGTCTTTCGACAGCGAGAGTGAAGGAGCAAGAAGCATAAAAGAAACCTCCAAAGAATATGCTTCCAAAGAGACAGAAGAGATTGTGGGGAGAAAAATGGATAAATTATCTCCCTCACTCTATCTGTTTCTGATTTTTCCTTTTCCCTCTGTCTTCGTTCCTTTTACTCTCAAAAGAAAATCCCATTTGGCCAGGATTCAGAAGATGCAACTTTTCATCCCTTCAATGGCCTGTTTGTCTGCGGCCCTTGGATCAAACAGTCAGAGCGACCGGCTCATAACTGTAGCGGACACTCATGTGTACTGTAGGAATCATACAGTAGGAGTTACAGTTATTACTGTGTAGACAGTGAAGTAAAAGATCTCCAGTGACGAAGAACTCACTCAGGAGTTAGTTAGTTAGTTTCATTAACAACATTTAAAGTTAAATATATAGCACCTAATCTCAACTGTTATGGTTGAAATAGCGTAATTTGTAGAAATGTTTTACTAAGCAGCTTATATAACTTAGCATTGTAATTAAGAAACCATACAACCCCTAATGGACATGACTAGACTACAGCTGCACACATTTAGTCGATGGCAAACTTTATAGTTAACCGTCCAAAAATGCTAATTAGCTAATAATTAATTATTATTTTTTCCTTTTAACTCATAAACAGTTCCACATCCTTACAGTGTGATCCCGGTCCTCGGCTGTTTGTGTCCACTATTCTGCGACGGTTGACGGCTCGAGACCAAGACCCGGCCACGCAGCCATGTGCACATGTGACTTCCCGCCACTAGATGGGGACAGAGTAACAGTAACTGGCCTTTATGGTGATTGATTTAGTAGACGTAATTGGTTTCACACTTCAGTGATCCCTGCCGAAGGACGTTATCCTTCCTTCATAAGGAGTTAAGGCTGTCACCCCTTAAAAAAAAAAAAAAAGAAAAAAAAGTTGAGTTCTATTTCCAGCTCCTGACATTCTGCTTTGACCCAGAACTTTTAAGGTGACGGGACAAAAGCTTTGTTAAACTGTGTCTGACATCACAGTTGTGTAGCAAGTAGCAAATCATAGGCAGCAGCACTGTCGTCCCCGGGGGTCTGTGTGCACCTGGTGTAATGTGGCTGGGGTTTGCAGATCACTCTTTCTTGTCACGTTTTTACTATGACGGGTTTCTCCGACCTAGAGTGCTGCAGAAGACTAATGCCTTCTTAAACGTCTGAGGAGGAGGGGCCACAGTTCAAGAGTTACAGGTGTATTAAAACAAACAAACAAAAACCAAATAGCCGACAGGGATAAATTCTTTTTTGCATTGTGAAGTACTGATAATTTATCACATTTATTTATTATTAAATTGCTAAATCAATGTTATTCATAGCACTTCACATGGGTAAAAAAATAACAAACAAAAAACACAAAGATCCATTCTTCCTAGTTGAAGTTCCTAGTTTTCTTGAACGCACCATCATGCATTTTCATAACTATGCTAATGCAGTGTCTATTTACAACAGCACGTTAATAAAAGACTAATTTAGATTGGAACCAACACAACATGACATCAATAACGTCAGCCTGACCTGCAGCCTTGTTAATACTGTTTTTAGGAAAATAAATGACATGACAACATACTGTATTATTTAAAATTTAAAGTATAGCCCACTGTGCAGTATAATTACTGTCTATTTTATGCACCTTATAATTAAATAGAAGGTATCTCAAATTATCCATTGAATGTGTCGCTACTGCGTAGTTTATCCAAACAGTTACAATACAAATTGATTCCGTTTTACGTAAACAACTTCACACGCCGTCCTTTAATTTAGAGGTCTTAAGTCTTCTGCAGTGCTTTGTGGGTAGTGGTCGGATGAACAGCTCAATGATTGGACTGATGATGGAAAAGGGTGATCCTGACTCTGAGCCTGTCCCCGGATGGTGGCCCCAGAGCAATGTATGGTTGTCTGCAGAATGTACCTTGAAGGATGTAAACTGTTTTTATTTTTATTTTTCTCTATCCTTTCTCTTCTCTTCTCTTCTTTCTTTCTCTTCTTTCTTTTCTCTCTGTTTTTTCTTCCTTTCTTTTTGTTTGCACTCACCATTTCGCTCTCTCTCCTGCCAGATTGTATCAGGATAGACTGTAGTCTCAGTAAGTGGTTCTATCCATTCTTCTGACTAAATGTTTTCGTCTTTTTCATGCTGAATCTGTTTTGTGTTGTGCCGCCTCCTAAATTTGATTTGAAAAAATTTAAATGTGTTTATTTTTTTCTGAACTTACTTGTATCTATTATTTAGTATCATTTTTTCTCCTTTTTGCACTTTATTGATTTTTCCCATTTTGTTCAATACAGCATCTTTGCTGTAATTTTTCCATTTAGTTGTTGTTGGTTTTTTTATGTTTTAATTTGTGTAACTGGCGGTTTTATTCAGTTATTTTATCATAATATTTGTCCTGTTAAATGTTTCCAAAAGGCACATTAGCAAATGGACAGCTTGACACGTCCTGTTGATTTTACTATTGTTATTTAAATATCATAAGTCTCGGGTCTGCTTTGGCTCCACTCGGTTGCAGCTGATACTTCTCTCACAAGGTGGGGGGTACAAATTGTGATTTAAGCCCCCCCCCCCCCCCCCCCCCCCCCTCCCTGCCCCCCTCTCCGAAAATGAATTGTTTACCTAGGGTGTAGGAAGAACACCTTTGTGTGGGAAAGTAATGATTACCTGCCCCATGCTGTCACAATAACAGTCACTGAACACTTATTGCTTTCACGGCCCATGTGAGCGCCACACAATCAGGTAAGTGCTGCCATGCAGCAACGAATTACCCCCCATAAAAAAAAAAAAAGAGAGAGAGAAATCCACATGTTTCCAAAACTGTTTTGTTGACGCAGACACAGGTGTGTGTTTGATTGTAAAAATCAACTTCCATTCAAAAAGTGGGCAGTTTATTAACCGTTCGGTTGGAGACGGCAGTGGCGTGGGCGTAAGAAATCATGTAATCATGCGGAGTCCTGTTCCACCAGCAGGCGTCGGTAATTAACAGTTTAATGGGAGGTGACCCAGTTGTAATTGCAAGTAGAGCAAACCTTAACAGGAAATTAACGGCCCGTGGCGTTAATGTAGTGCTCTTTACGACTGGAACAGGTATGTTAAAAAAAAAAAACAAAAAAAAAGAAGAACATATACGTATATACCTCTTTTCCTTTTCTTCTTTACTCTCCTTCGCTTAACTGTTGCTAAATTGATGACTGCAGCTCGTTAAATGACTCTAAAAGGCGACTTTAAAGGTAAATTATCTGTTAAATGACACTCCAATTGCATTTTTTATCCCGTCGAAATCCATTTACTTAGGGCTCATTGGATTTGTTCAAGTGCGTCCTTACTATAAATTGAATTAAACAAATGTCGGGTGCTCGAGTTTCCTCTTCTCAGAGAGACAGAGATTTGACTACATTTCATACAGTGTATGGCAAAGCGGTGATTCTTAGTGTGTTGTGAGAGATAATCAGGTAGACAGTGGAAAATGACCAAACTTCACTTCACTGATCCGGAGACCTTACATTTATTTACTGCTAATCATTTTTCATTGTTGGAGTGGGAGGGAGGACAAGTAAATACTCTTCCAATAGGTGGCAGCAGATGGATATAAAAACCATAACCAATCTTCATGTGTGTTTCATCAACTCCTGCATGTATATCGGGGTTGTGTTCAACTAAACAGACTGGCTTTCACACTCAGTAAGTAATTAAATTGTTAGTCAAGGAAAACTAGATCATTTTATCTTATTACTTATGCTCTTTATGACATGGTTTATTGGTGTCTGTGCCGAGATAATGGTGCGAGATAATGGTGCGAGATAATGGTGCGGCTCAAAAAAGGTTGGGGTACGTGGCTGTAAATAATATGATGATCTTTGAAACATTGTAATTTCTAGGCACAGTTATACAAATTATTTTCATCGGCAACTTTCTAAGCTATTTAGAATGATTATTTTTTGCAGTGCACAAACAGTAATGCGTATATATATTTACATGCCACACTTTTGCCACACGCAAAAAAGAGGACCAGAAGCTTCATCCTAACAATTTTATTTTATTCATTTATTTATTTTTACCTTAGATATATATATTTTTTTACCTCTGGTGTAGGTCAGTCAAGTTTAAGGGCTTGTTTTTCAACCTCTGTGTGTTTCCAACCATCTTTTATGGTCTTTCCATTATAGTATTTCGATTATTTTGTTAGACTTTTGACGTGTGATGTTCTATTTTGGAATTACGTAGTTAAAAAGGAAAGTGTAGTGAGTGACACCATGCCTTATTTAACGCTGTTATTTCACGTTGTATTTAATAATATGACGTTTAGTCTGGGCCGAATTTGCATAACATATTCCCTAAACTTGCCACTAGATGTCAGAAAAGTACTTTGTAAATACGACTCTACGTAAGGGCGAAGACAGGGCTGTTTTGCCTTTTATTTCAGCACTTTTCTGTAATGTTCACAGCCCTGACTTTCACACTGCATCATTGTAAATGCTTTAGCTGCTGGTGGAAGCCACAACATAAGTGGGTAATTTTTTTACATACTTTTTTTTTTTTAGATCTTTTAAAAAAAATGTCAACTGTTTTTACTGCACAACTATAAGGAATACTAGCCCTCTTGAAATTGGTTTGCATAAAAATGTGTATTTTATACCTTTTCCTGTCTGAAACTATGTTGCTTTTTTCAAAAATATATAAGTTGTCGCATTTAACCCTTATGGTTTTTACTTGACTGAGCATCATTCACGGCTGTAAGCATTTTCAAATACAATATTGTTTTATTTGTTTTATTTTTTTCACACTGCGGTATTGAAATTATTTCAGTTTAACTATTACTAGGATAAGATGCAGTTTTATAAACTTCAACATAAGTAAAAAAAAAAAAACAGTATTCCTTTTTATGACAAGGATTTAACTATTAGATACATATATGCATGAACCAGAATGCATATATAAAGATGTAAAACAAATTCTTTATTTTGTAAAATCAAAATTCAGCACTGTAACTTGAATGCCACTTGTACTGGAGTGTAACTTGTTTGCAGGGATAATATTCAAAACAAGCAGTAAGGGTCACCGGGTCTATTCTGCCATTTAGTTTAAATTTGATTTGTGGTTTAATTGTTTGCTTTGCTATAGGCTTTCTGTCAAACATGTCCTCTGGTTTCTGGAATTTCTAGGAAATAGGTTGTTGTTGATGTTGTCGTCGTCGTCTTTACTTTCAAATGACTGTATGTTGTATAGAGCATTGCCGGAGCCTTCAAATTAAATTAGGCGTCTATTGACGGTGACCCTTGAGCAGCCTGGAACATTTTCCTACCATAAGATAAGGTTTGGCATGACATATGGCCAGCAAGAGGGGTGCGAGTAACCCATCTGCTAACGCCGCAACCTTTGGCCTCTCCACCTGCACGTTCTGTCTCCAGTGAAGTCTCACAGAGAGAGGATTCATGCGTATATTAATGAGATTATATAAAAAAAAAACGACTTTGTATGTGAATAGTTGGCAGCACATTCGCAATGTGTTCAACTGTAGTTAAAGATTTCACTTTCCTCCCAGCAGCTAACTGACCTTTTATGTTTACGGTAAACAAATGTGTTTACCCCCACAGAACAAGAAAGACTTATATATAAAACTGTTTTGTTTTGGTTTTTTTCCAAACTTCATACAACTCCATTGGGACCATGGGCTACGAGCACAGTTCGATGCTAACCACTGTATGTGTGAAGCCCTGTTAGTGTATAGTACAGCAGTGATCATCAACTGTCGGCCCGCTGAACCATCCAATCCAGTCTGTGACTGGATCCAAAAATTAACATTAAGTAATAATGTTAAACAAGAATGGGATTTTATTTCATTTTCATTTGAGTGTCTGGCCCCCAAGATGTCAAAGCCCCCCCGACAGATATAGTCGCACAGTTAAGACAATATAAGTACAGTAATACCTTGAGATACGAGCATAATCGATTCCTGGACTGAGCCGTGACTCGAGGTCCTTGTATCTCAAATCATTTTTTCCCATAAGAAATAACAGAAAACAAAATTATCCATTCCAGCCCTCTAAAAAACTCCCTTATTGGTGCTAATAACAATGGAATAACAATTAAAATGTTTTTAATTGCTATAGAGACAAACAAACAAAAATTATAGTATATAAAGATTCCTGTGATATAAAATAAAATGTGGTTTTAATTATGAGTTCTTACCTTCGAGACAGACGATACAGTAATGGCTAATGGCAGCTTGTGCGGAGGAGGAGGAGGGAGGGAGTTGGCCCGTATGTAGACTTGATTCTGTAGCGTAGTGTACCGTAGTGTACCTACACGTACACTACTTTACTTTTTTTTTTTAATTTGTATTCTTTCTTTAGCGGGCACCACGCTCATATTTATTGACACTTTCATGCTTTATTTCCATGGTCGTCATGCATTTCTTCTTCTCACTACCATACTCGTATCTCAAAGCAAAAAATTGGCTTGAATGCTTGCTCGTATCTTGGAATACTCATCTCAAGGTATTACTGTAAAATTGACTGAAAATGTACTTTAGGCAGTACAGGTCACACAGTTATATAAGCTGCATTTGGGAACCTAGAACTTTTTGTTTATATTTGAATGAGAAGCCGCACCTTTGGGTAATTTTGACTGGTTTAAACCGGTCAATTCATTTGGTCTACAGTGACTCTGTAACATGTGACATGTAAATTAGTGCCAAGAATTAGTACCTTTTCAGGAAGGGTTCAGGTTCATAAGTGACAATAAATAAAATAAATAATTAAAAATAATTTTAAAAAATACCACATTTAGAGAGATGATAGTCCAGGTCACAGTATCTGTAATGAACTTTTTGGAAAAAGTGCCATCAAGCTATCCTTAATTTTAGGTCTCTGGTTAAAGTGAGAGAGAGGGGATAATATTGTGTGTAATTGTTCACTGCACTGTATGAAAGAAAGCTTGTTTATCCAGTGTGATACGTTAGCTGGCAGCACTCTGATAAATCTGTGAAACTGAAAGACGGTCTTTCAATTTGCATCCCGGAACAAGACCTCATTCCGACTGAATAATATATTGTTTTCAGCTCGGGAAGGCTTCTGATTGTTTAAATGAGTT